TGTAGGAAACACAGTTTAGATCTGTTTAGGGTAAGAGGTGTGTGAGTTATTGTCGTCTATCATTGAATGTGTCAGGAATATCGAGAACCACACAACTTAACTCCGCTCCACTCACAGAGCTTGATCGACGCCAGCATTTCTCCCCTTGATTTTTTTGGTTTTGAAAAGTGTAAAACTTCCACCACCCCGTCCAAACTTTTAGGAGGCCATATGGGAGGGCATATGTGCAACGCTGTGGCTTGTTTCCCTTGCTCGAAAGCTTGACAGAGCCCCTGCACGTAGCTACAGTTGCTAAGCCATGATTGTTGGGTGGCAGTTTTTAGGTGTGGCTTAGCAAAGAGTCAATTGAACAAACTAAACTGACTATAGTGTGTGTGTGTGTGTGTGTGTGTGTGTGTGTGTGTGTGTGTGTGTGTGTGTGTGTGTGTGTGTGTGTGTTTCCCAATACTGGTTTGCAGCTGGAAGGGCATCCGCTGCAGAAAACATATGCTGGAAGGGTTGGCGGTTTATTCGGCTGTGAAGACATCTAAAAATACAGACTAAGCCGATAATAAACGAATGAATGAGTTTGCAAAGAATTATTTTCTGAAATTATTTTAAGGAGAAACCAACTTTACTTCAATGTCTTTATGTCTGCCTGACTAAATATATAATGTAATATTTTTAATTATTAATCTTAATTATTAATAAAAATAATTATATTAATCTTACGTTACCTCAGAAAACGAATACTTATGACAATATTATTTCTATAAGTTACTATGACCTTTCACTGTTTCATATTTGTAAGGCTGCTTTTTTAAACAAACAAGTCGAGGTTTGTCCTTATTTTTACTTTTACTCAGGAATGTTTTTAGACAGAAACATAGCTTCACTCACTCTACCTCTGTCAATCTGAATATTTTTTCACCCTTATCAAGGACTGAGTTGAGAAGCATTGGATAAAACTAAGTTTACGTTTGATGTAAAGTTAACACGCTTTACAGATTATTTACCCAATCCATACATTGTCATATGTGTTTATGATAGTGTAAAAATATTGCATTATTAAAATAAATCCATTCAGGCCATGTATCCAATATGTATCAACACACAAGTTTTGAATAACATTGCATTTTTACTCACGTGCACGTCAAACTACACTGTTGCTTTCACAGTCTTCATAAATTATCACAGCAGTGTAGTTTCCTACCAGTAATGTTATCGTTACTTACTCGTATTGAGAGTTTAGAGTCTCCTCAGTGTCTCTATGAAGTGTCCTTTCACTCCACAAACCTCTGTTTTGCAACACTACCGGACACGGAAAGGCCCTGATGATTGACAGCCGACATAACCAATCAGGATTTGAAACGTCAAAGGAGGGTGGGTTTTAACCGATGTATGGCAAGCCGGTTTATATATAATGAATGTAGTGTTGGGCTTTACTGCGTATGAGCACCAAAAATAAAAACCCAAAATTAAAAAGTGTTATGTGATGAACTGCTTGCTAAATTTCACATTCATAAGTCAAAATTTTCTAACTCCAGACCTATGTTTGGGGTTTTTATGAACGGATTTAAACAACACCTTTTATTAATCCAATTGTCACATAACTAAAAGGCTCTAAAAACAAAAAAAAAAACTTTTAAAAAACGTACCACCATAATAGTAAATCATTTTAAATGGATACGAGTAGTTATTCATTAGTTGGGGCAGATTTGGTGATTTGGGAGCCCTAAACAGTTCCAGCCATGTGGACCAGCAGTTCTAGTTTTCACCCTTTGCATTTTATTTATCATTTTTTACTGTCTTTTTTGCAAAGGTAAAACATTCTGTATGCATTAATTGTGTTGTTATTTTTTTAGACCCTTAACACATATATGTTATTTATAATTTATAGACATTGTGGGGTTTTTCAGTTGAAATAAAATTTTTACATGTTTTCCATGCATAAGAAGGCTAACAATTAACCTATAAAGTGTTAATTATTGTGAAACTGTCAGAAGTGTTGCAAACTGCTAAGTGCTGCAAATCGCATGCACAAAATAGAGACGTGTCGCAAGGGTGCATAGAAAGGGTTCTGAGAAAGGACAGGATGTGTTATAAGGAGACATTTGCCTTAAAAGGTTAAACCAAGTGAAGATGCACGGAAGACAAACAACTGTGGTATAAAAAGGATGTGTCTCTGAAAAAGAGTTCAGAGTTGAACCTCTCCTGCGCAGTATATTGCTTTTGGTTTCTTTCCTGCTTGAGCAAATAAAACTTATAATTTTTGACAGATTGACTCCGAACCCATTTTTGAACATGCACTGGACCCTTTGAAGTCCGACAATTTCTATATGTGTTGGTGGTTGGGGGCCCTAAACGGCCACTTACCTAACTTATTGGTTAAATCTGGCCCTGTTCACTAGATAATAGGCTAGTACTTATTTTGGTAGTATTGATTAGTAAATGTTCTTTTGTTTCTAACAATTTTACACTTTTGCCCTTGTTTTTAATGGGAATCTGTCAAAGGTTATTACAAAAACCATCTGTTTATTAGGTTAGAGTTTCAAATAAATACGTTGTATGCAATGATCAAGTACTCTCTAAATAAACACAATGCTCTGCTCTAATAACTTAAATAACTAAAATAAAAAAATAATAAAATACGTAATAATAATAATTAATAACATACTATTATTTTTATTCTTATTCTTATTCTTATTATTATTATTATCATCATCATCATTATTATTTGTTAGTGTCAAGTTTGCATACTAGTTAAAACTGTAAAACTAAAAAAAAAACTAAAAATTTACTATTGAATATGCACTGCTACTTAAAGAATAAACACTGAATGGGGGAAATGCCTATCTAAAAAAGGTAGGCTACTAGTTTTATTAAAATAATAATAAATATTAATAAATGCTTATATATATATATATATATATATATATTTTAATTATGTTAAAATGACTTGCCATAAAAATGTTTCTGCTAACAACCAATCATGTTTAACATTTTGACTTGTTCTTGATATGGACCAATAGAATTTTAGCAGGGGGCGTGCCCAATGTAGCATAACGCCATCTGTCTCCGTGAATGTTTTGAGTGAAGCACAGCACGTGGAGTAACGGTAAAGTGACTTTCACGTGACACTCAAGATGAATAAGAAGAATTTTACTACAAAACAGCTCTGAGTGTGGTTATCTAGTTAAATATTATTCAGTTTACTTGATATCCATGCTGAAACAAACATTTACTCTTTGAAATAAAACATTACTAAAATGTAACTCAATTCAGATGGTGCAAAATGATAAAAATTTTCACTTATTTGTACCTTTACTCGATAAGTTTGTGATTTTTTGCTTCTCTATGAATAAGTTGAGAAGAATTTGTTAAAATTGAATATATGCTTGATTATTTTAATTAGTTTTTAATAACTTTTTAAAACCCATTTAAAAAAAAGATACAGCACTTTTTACAGTGATATAACACAAATTAAAATTTAACCATAACAAGAATTTGTATGCCCCAAAATATTATTTAGATAAATTTAGACAGAAATAAATAATATATGGGCGATGCGGTGGCGCAGCGGGTAGCTCTGTCGCCTCACAGCAATAAGGTCGCTGGTTCGAGCCTCTACTGGGACAGTTGGCATTTCTTGGGTAGGCTAAATTGTCCGTTTTGTTTGTGTGTGAATGGGAGTGTATGGGTGTTTCCTAGTGATGGGTAAAATATATGCTGGATAAGTTGGAGGTTCATTCCACTGTGGCAACCCTAGATTAATAAAGGGACTTAGTTGAAAAAAAATGAAAGAATGAATAAATAATTTATAAAATAATATAATAAATAATTAAAAATAATTAATGACAGATTAAAAGACTAAATGATCACAGTAAAACCCTAAAATAAAATTTTTGTTCAATTTTCATTTTAAATACATAATATTTTAGTTACCCTACAGACCTCTAGCTTTCACCCATTCCTAACATTTCTCGTGTAAAACATATTTAACAATAAACTTTAGTGTGATCACGTATGTTTTAACAATAAATTTAATTTAATATTTGTTTATATTGTTGCATTTTATTTAAATATATCTGTTATACAAAAAAGGAACATTATTTCGTCCAAAGAATAACATTCTTCATTCATTTTCTTTTTGGCTTTGTCCCTTTATTAATCTGGGGTCGCCACAGCAGAATGAACCACCAACTTATCCAGCACATTTTTTACGCAGCGCATGCCCTTTCAGCTGCAACTCACCACTGGGAAAAACATTTCATTTTAAACATAAATATTTAAACATTATTGTATAATTTGCATTAAGTGTGCATGTAATGGCTTTGGCCTGTATGTGTCTATCTGTGTGTAAATATATAATCTATCTATCTATCTATCTATCTATCTATCTATCTATCTATCTATCTATCTATCTATCTATCTATCTATCTATCTATCTATCTATCTATCAAGTGTTTCAGAAGTGTTATCTTTTTTATTTATTGATGTCAGAGATTAACTACTAAGATTAATCTTAACAATAAATAAGTAAACAAATAATCATGTTTGCTTCAAAGTCAATTTACTCTTCAGAATTTGTGTGATTAATTTTACTGTAATAGTGAAATAGTACATATATAGTATATATATATATGTGTTAAATAAGTGCTGAGATTGTGCTGAAGTAGTGCTGTAAATGTTAGTCTGTGAACCTAACTTCATATAATTCAATTGTAAAGATTTTTCTGCAGACTGCAACATCTGAAATCGGTGTGTCGACATACGAGTTGTGTCAACATACAGTAGGCTACATAAATATGCCAAGCAATAAAGAGTCCACAGTGATATTGTGAGCTCATATTTCACTTGCGGTGAATTGTAGCGAAAGTGAAAGATGCTGCCGATCATTATGATGATGAGCTGGAAGAATTTTCCTCTTTGTGGGTAGAGGTGTAGAGACAGAGGGGGAGTCTGAACATCCATATATGGGCACGCCATCAGTTTTCTCTCCCCATTGGCTGCTAGCGTTTTGCAGCTGCTTGTCAACAAAATGGCCTTCCTCAATTGCTTTTCGAGGACCTACTGACTACTTCTGTTTTGGTAAAACAGTACTGATATCTGGTTGAACAATAGAGGCGAGCATTCTTTTTTTTTTTAAAACACAGCATTTGTCAATTCATTGCTGTGTTCATAAAAGACAGACACTGTTGGTCTGTCCACATGAATGTTATGGTTTTTGGTTTTATTCTCGAGTTAGCTTAACAGGAGCTAACAGTCTACCTGCAAACCCCCATCGACCTCAGCTTTCATCGGTGTGATTGTTTTTAAAACCCCGCAGTGAAATTTGAACAACTGCTGGTTGAAATTCAACAGAGTAACCCCTTTTTTGGTTACAAAAGTAACGCTGTCAAAATGAGAACAAGGTAAGCGGAGATATAATTCTAGCAGACCTGCTATTGCTTTAGCCAGACATTTTAATTTATTGTTGATGATGACATCTAGTTGAAATACTTCAAAACCTTTTATACAAGCACATATGTCCACTTTTTATTTTTTATAGTTTCTAAAATTGTTCTATACAGTACTAGACAAGATAATACACTTTTGTCAGCCAGCGTGGGTTTCACAGCTTAGCTAACCAAGCTAAACATATGCTAATTAAACACTGGCGCAGATATATACCAACAGCAATAATATGCGGTTATTTAGTACAGAATATATTAGTATTAGCTATCTTGCTTCCGACTATTTTGGTTGACATGATTGCTAATTGAACCTAAATCAGAGAAGTTCACTCATTTTCGGTTGTTTAGAGGAAGCTAATCGTCTGCAATAGCTTTACTAGCGTTGGTCAGTTTTTTTAGCCTTAACGTGTAATCTGCGTGAAGTCAAACGAGCACAAATGCTTTGTCTTTCAGTTTAAAATGTTTTTAGTTAACATGTTAAATTGAATTTAAAGTACCGAAGATGCCAAGCGATTATGTTAAGACATGGATTAACTTGATGGGTAAGGCCTTGTAAAAAGGGGAAGCTGAGGAAAAACACGTAATCAATGACAATATAATTCACTTGATATTTATCATGTTAGTAGGATAACATGTTAAATCACTTGTATTACTTTCCTGTTTGGATCAAGGTGGTTTTGGGGTTAATCATTGGCACTATGAGAGTATTTGCTATCTTTATTATGTTATTTTTATGTTTATTGCTATTGTGTACGGGACTAATATTTGTATCATATTAACATTTAAATGGATAAAGAACGTTTTGCTCTATAAAGTAAAACTGGCAGGCATTCAGAAAATATTATGCAAATTCCCCAGTGTTGTTCACTTCTGAGTGAATCATCTCGTCGAATGACTTGTTTAACAAGTCCTTAAACATTTTGCTTGTCGTCATTATCTGTAAGCACACTGGAGTTATCAAATCTTACGGTACTTTGTCACGTAATGAGATTATTTTTCTACAGAATTGGATTCCTTTTTATGATAGGATATTTTTCCTGATAATAACAAAATACATTCCACCGGTTCAACAAACTTCCTTGAATTTATTTATTCATGTATATTTTTTTCTCTCACACACAGAGAATTGTGGTTTGTACAGTTGAAGTCAGAATTATTAGCCCCCCTTTGATTTCTTTTTTAGGTATTTCCCAAATGATGTTTAACAGAGCAAAGAAATTTTCACAGTATGCCTGATAATATTTTTTATTCTGGAGAAAGTCTTATTTGCTTTATTTTGGCTAGAATAAAAGCAGTTTTTAATTTTTAAAAATCCATTTTAAGGTCAAAATTATTAGCCCCTTTAAGCTATTATTAAGTGATTAAGCTT